CTGTTTCAGCCAGCTCCAGCGTGACAATCCAAAAAAAGCGAGCGGTATAAACACTTGGTTCAGCATGTGTAAATTTTTGGCTTCGGGAGAAACTTAAAGTGGACTCAGAGCCGCAGCTGAAGTGTTTAGTCGCTGCGCGGTCGCGCCATATGTTTGGTGCTGAATAAACATTCCAAATTAAGTTATTTATGACGGTATTTCCATAATTTATTGCAGTATTTTAAGAGGACAGCCATCCAGACGCATCAAACGGCCCCAAAATGTGGTGAGAATTAAAAACATAATAATTTGGGCAGATGCTCATTTCATAGAAAGTTGAGGAAGTCCAGCAGAACCACAAAACTCTAAAACTAGAAAATAAAAAAAGTTAAATCAGAGTTTTGATATATAAAATGATGAAATCTAGCCCGTTTTTCAGTGAGCGTATTTTCTCCGACTAACACCAGTAAGGTCATGTAGCCCATTAAATCGAACCCCATACGGGACACAAAGGCTTTCTGCTAAGAGCTGCTTGTGCATTAGAGCAGAAACTGACCAAGCTGATTGGGAGTTATTAAACCGCTAAATGTTTTATATGCAACTCCTTGTACTCTTAAATGTGGCTGATTTCAGTTGCTTTCTAACTGTGATAAAACCTCCAGAAGCTGGCGACTTGTCAGATTTGATTTGTAATGTCAATCTGTGATTTTCATGGTTTACTCTCTTCCTCGCATGATTTTAAAGGTACCAGTAGAAATCTGGAAAATTGGGAATGTGATATAGCCATTGGTTTTTTTCGTCCATCTGTCCATCCATTTGTCCATCCATCTATTTGTCCATCCATGTGTTTGCCTGCTCATCCTGCCATTATCACGCCATCCTCCCATCCAACTATTTCTCCATTATCCTTCCATCTATCTAGCTCCTGTTTACCCCAATGAAATCTGATAACTCTCCAAACCAAAAGTTAATGTTTTCTTTACCAGCACAGGAAATAATTATTTAGAACAATAAAAGTAACTGTACCAATCACACTTTTTGTTTTTAGGTCGTTCGGAGTGCAGAAAGTACTTTTTTTCCCCTTTTTTTTTCTGTGTTGTAGCCTCAGGAGAAATAACTGTTATGACTATTTGACATATTGATAAATGTTATGAATGTGTATTCCTACCATATCCCCATTCATTTGTCCACCCATCCAACATTTATTTTATTTTTTTTTATATAATAAAAATCAACCATCCTGGTGTTGAGCACCACAACTTGTTCTAATTTGTCACATCATAAAGCTGATAATGCTGTTCTATCTTTTGGAGCATACTTTAACACCCAAAAACTATATTTGCACCATATAATAGCGGAATAATGTTTAAAGAGACGTTTGAAACTCCACAATTTAGCGCTGCATAAAACACTCGTCCTTTCTTTAGTTGTCTACAGCAACTTTCTAGATTCAGTTGGGGACTTTGCTTTGGCTTGAATAACTCCAATACTTTTCCTCACCATTGAACACCTCTGGGTTTTGACTGTGCATCTATCTTTCTGGATGTGTGTATGTGTGTGTGCGCGTGTGTGTGTGTGTGTGTGCACACCTTACCCTATGTTTATGTGTATGTCAGAGGGCGTTGTGTTGGTGCCACATAAACGATTATAGGGCGCAGATAAATAGACATCATTAAGCCTCTGAACTGTAATTATCGTCGGCCCTTTTTGGGGAGGCTGAGGTGAGTGGGAGAGGCCAGGTATCAGTAATAAATCAGCAAAACACACACAGATGCCCACACAGTTTGCTAGTTAGCACCAGTGCATCCTGCCCAGAAACCTCGTTGACTCATATGAAGACAAGGGTGTACGGTTCTGAGCATTAGACTTCATGTTTACATAATATTACGTGCGTTGAGGCATTTGAGCATTTTACATTTCCACAAACATCAAGCCAACCAGCCGCTGACTGAAAAGGAAGTTGGGAGACCATGAACCCAATATGTGCGCAAACTGTCCTTTCCTGTGTAATTGACACTTGAACCATACCCTCACAGTTATACACATTGTGCTATCTTTCTGGCCCAGGTTCAGGGTAGTGAATGTTTCCCCTAACACACTTCTTGAATCATGGCCTCAAATCCAAATCGAGCATTGCTTCATTAGCTGGTGGAAGCAAATATTTTCAGGTGTACGTGTGTTGCAACGAGGGGCAGCTGTGGGGCCATATGCGAGTGATTTAGGAACTCGGAGGGAAACCGAATTCTGATGACAGACGCACTGTTTGGCTTGCAACACTAGTCACACATACACTTGTGCACATACACACAGGAAGCATACATCAATCAATCACCTGGCTCTGTCTCTTTACATGTGGTGACCGTATGGTGAGCTCCCCATGCACTCGCAGGAACACACAAGCTCTGGCTCGGTGCGCTGCTGAGGATTTGATCATGGAGGTGTCCTTCTGTCTAATCTCAGGTCGTCATAAAGCACATGTTCCACAGAGAGTCTTGAGATTAGCTCAGCTGTTTATTGCATGTATTAGGTCGTTGGGCAATCAAGAAATTTCCTGTCCAAATCCAGACTGAAAAGAGCCAAAAGAATCAAGGAAGTAGCCACCGCAAAATACTCCAACCTTGCCGTGTGCTATTTAGGAGAGCATCTTCTCACAGCCGTGGGGTTTTCGACCTCATCATGTTCACCCTGTGTGGCGCCCAAAAGACTTGGAAGATTTGTAACTGGATGTGCAAAACCAAATACGATTTAAGTGATGGCTGTTTGTCATTTAAATACGGGGTTGAAGACAATGTTCATATGTGTGTAGAAAAATCATTACATTTGTTGCGGTTGTTTGCCTTTAATTATCCGTGTCTACGTAAATCAGCTCTCTGCAATTTGGGTTACTAATCACTGCCACATTAGTTGTGGGTAAGAAAATATGATTTTTCTACTGAGGACTGAAATCAAATATATATATATATATATATATATATATATATATATATATATATATATATACTATTTTAATGCCTCATTATGCCTAGAAATTGACATTTTAAAATGTACTGTTTTATCTTTTTGTTAAATTATTTTTTTATTTGTGGGGTGCGGCGCAGGGATAGAGCCATATATTGAGGCCTTAATCCTTGACCCTGCCGTAACAGTTTCAAGTCCTGGTCCGTTGACCTTTGCTGCATGTTTTCGCCCCTCTTTCTTAACCCGTCTTCCTGTCGATTCACCATCTCTCTGTATGAAGAGCCAAAAAAAAAAAAAAAATCCTTAAGAAAAAAAAAGTATATTTCCATTTTCTTCATGTCTGTTTCTCCGTTTGCCAGCTTGTACTGTGTACAAATTTGGGTGGTCCCAATTGTTGTGTACTTTCAAAAGAGATGACGTCCCATGTTAGGTGGTGAAATTTGTTTTGCACATGACTTTGGACTGAAGCGGTTGGGTAATTCTGCATGTTTGCATGTGTGGGATCCCAAAAGAATCATAAAGTGGTTTATTGGGCTTTGACACTTGCAGTAAAGAAATTTCCAATAAATAAATAACCCAAACAGAGCAGCGTCTACTGGGCTCTTATGCTTTTAGCTGGCAGCACCAAGCAGATGTTAAGTGGAGGTGATCAGAGTGGCTCCATCTGTAGCTCTGCTCTGAGATTACCAACAGCCTGGTTGAAGTGAGACCCTCATCTGTGTAAATCTGGATGTTCTGAGATTTTTTTTCCTGTGTCATGCATAACTCCCAGCTGTGTCATGAACACCATATAATAAAAAGTTAGCACTAGTGAGAGCAGGAATAGTTCTTGGGAAAGAAGTAAACTTCTTTTTGGGTCTACTGTTGCTTAAAAAAAAAAATCATTCTGCATACTGTCGATGATAAAGATGCTTGATTTTGTTAACATTTACTCTCTCTCTTTGCTACCGCCTTGAAAGTTACCTGCATCTGCTTGTGTCACACCACAGCCTAGTTTACTTGTATATTCATGGAAACCAGCCTGATTCATATTTTCCACCATATTGCGTCAAAAGCACTTGTAATCGTTTGCCATTGGAAGTTAGCTTTCAACGCAATACTTTATCGCGTGTCGTTTTGGCGCAACAGTTGCAGATCTCTCCGTGGCTGAGAGCAGGATTTAAAAGACTGAAGAGAGGAGAAAATAAATACAAGAGATGTGGGATGATGAAATTTTATTTTAATAACCGAAAGAGAGAAGGAAATGGTTTGCGAGACTGAGGAACTGAGTCACAGAGGAGAAAGATGAGGTATGCTGTCCTCGCAGGGTCATAAAGGTGGTGAGTGGGGCCAGAGGCTTAATGGGATGGAGAAACGTTGTGATTGGCTCATTACTGTGATGGAGCACATTGCCACAACAATTGGCCTTTTCACCCCACCCACACCCCCCACCGCCACCACTTCACGCCGTTCTTTGCACACACTGCTTTTGTATGCACCGCTGCGCCGTGAACTGCAGAGGTGTGTATATGAAGAAGCATACGCTCGTACAGCAAAAGTCAAATACTGGCCCTCTGCAGTTCTCAGCGACACTTTCTATTGCTGCAAGGTGAAAGTCTAAGTCATTCATTTGCATGTCTTGCAAGCAGCACTTTGAAAAAAATAAAAATAAAAGCAAACCCAGAAGGATCTCGGGAGTCGCACATATCCACTTTTCTTTTTTCTTTTTTGACACAAACATATTCCATTGAATGAGCTTATTTAACTTTTCAGACTGTGTTTATTTTGGGGAAAAGATGAATGTGTTCAGTATTGTGTCAAATTGGCAAATGAGAGCTCATCGTTCTTCAGCCACAAAGCCAAGGTGGTCGTTCTCTCTGCCTGTCTCATAACCTCATCTTCCAGTTCAGTCATCTGTGGCATGCCCATTAAAAGGGAATTATTTCAAATTAGGCAAAAATTGTCGGCACCGTTTGCGCTTCCATTCTCGTTATAACTTATAATGTCTCCCCATATTTGTTTGCTCGCATTTGAAAGTTTCACATCAAGTTGCTAATGCTGCACATCATGCTGTCTCTTTGCAGCGACGCAGAGGCAGTGGGGTTTTCTGTGCAAACTGCCTGACCACCAAGACGTCGCTCTGGAGGAAAAACGCAAACGGAGGCTACGTCTGCAACGCATGTGGTTTATACCAAAAACTGCATTCGGTAAGTCAGACACAAACACTTTGTGGGTGCAGATTAGTCTATCACAGACAGACTAATGTGAGACGAAAGGTTTATGGCGTTTTAAGTTGAAAACAATTTAAATATTTAGATGAAACTTGTCATCGACCACTAAGAGGAAAATAGCCAAGAAATACGCCCTTAGTATTTGTAAAATGATCAAAACCCCAGAGAGTGGTCTCTGGGTGTCATTACTCGTTTCACTGCCAGACTGTCAGCAGTCCGTCCCTATGAGCATTAACAACATGTCTGAGAGAGAGTGCAAATAATCCACTGATCTGCGTTGTCTGCGGTGTTCATGATGGCAGCCGAGGCCTTCATTTGATGTGCAGAGTAATCTAGAGGCACGTCAGTCAAATGCTAGAACTGAAAAACACAAAAGTAAGGCAAAGTAAAAAAAAAACAACAAAAAGAAATCAAAGTAATGTTATATTTTAGATTTCATGTAAGAATTAAATTTAAATGTGAGCCTTACAATTTCTTTGTCAAACATTTGTAATAAGAAATTGTATTTTCTTTAGTTGCTATGGTGGAAAACAAATTACACAAGAACCATTCTGCCTAATACTTTTTTTGTAATTTCCCCCTGTCCGCCTCTAATGTTGCTTAAATTGCCTGTCCGATAAGTAATAAGTGCGCTGAATTAAATTTCCAAAACAGTTTATATTATGAGGAAATCATACAGGAGTAAAGTTTTTGCAATAAGTAAAAGCAAATTTGTCTGAGTGATGAAAATTAATTTGAAGGGCTGAACTGCCATCCACTCATATGAGACTCACAAAGGAAAGGTTGTTCATTGCCATTTTATGGACTGCTGTGTCTTAGTGCGCACGCAGGGTGGCTTTGTCCACTAATTATTATTCTTCCTATGTGGCCAATTAGCATGCGATGCAAATGAAATTGTGCATAACGCAGTTAAATACTTAGTATCTGTTTGACTCTCACTGTGAAAAAGTAACACTGTAGCAGAGGAAAAAAAAAAAAAGTATTGTTAATTTGGCGAGTGCCGGGAGTTTGGGGAGCCTTTCGGCAGTCGCAGCGAGCCAGTTCCTCGGCGTAGGAAATGTGATGGAATGGATGGAGTTTACCATCAAAGCCTGGGGAAAGTCGATGGAAATCCCAAATTTAATTAGACCGCATGAAGTTCAGCTGAGATAAAGAGCCAGCTTGATTTTTAGTTGACTTGAGGATATCAAGCTTATTCAGACATCCTCTCAAGGTATTCAGCCTAATTATGCACTTTACAAATAATATCAGAGTCGTTCAGAGCCTCAAACTTTATAATGTGTGTAGCCCTGACTTTAAAACAGGCTTTCTAGAGAGTTAGGAAAAGTCTAGAACTTAAGAATTTTCTGGCTTTGAAAGAATATGTGAATACAAAATAGGAGTCAGGACAGTTTTTTTTTTGTTTTTCAAACTTAATCCCAGATAAAATGATCTGCTCTCTTTCCCTCTTTCAGATTTTACTTGATCTCCTTCTTTGTGTTTTTACTTTCTTCTTTCCTTCCTTCCTTCATTGTGCTCTTTTTCTTACCTTCCTTTTATTTTGCTCTTCAAGGGTTGCCTTTTGGTCTTGTATCCTTCTCTGTATCCTCTGTCGATCTGTGTGGCCTACCTCCCTTCTTTCCATCTTTACTTCTTTCTTTGTGTCCTTTCATCTGTTCTTACTAGTGTCCTTTCTCCCTTCTGTCTTTCCTTCCTTTATTGCTCATTCCCTTCTTTGTATCTGACTGTCCTTCCTGTTTCTTTGTTTCATTCTTCTTCCCTAAGAAGGAAGCTTGCTTTCTTTCTTTCTTTCTTTCTTTCTTTCTTTCTTTCTTTCTTTCTTTCTTTCTTTCTTTCTTTCTTTCTTTCTTTCTTTCTTTCTTTCTTCCTTCCTTCCTTCCTTCCTTCCTTCCTTCCTTCCTTCCTTTGAAAACGTTGAGTTTCGGAACACAATATTTACATGTAGGATCCCCATTAAAAATACATTGGAAATGCTTTGAAGTGAAATAAAGAAAAGAAACATTGTTAATGAATGAATGAGTGGGTTGACCATACTACAAGCCTGTTGACGAGTCACTGAAGAAGGCACTGAGGAAAGAAGCTACCGCATCGTTTCCTCTTTCCTACCCCCAAAGATGTCCTTGGTTCAACCCGTTCATCTCATCTGCTGCTCCAATCACGTCCCGGCTCCCTCCACTCTTGGCAGTCCTCACGACAACCATATTTTATATCCTATAATAAAAGTTTTATACGCTCTACACACATTATTAGAGAGGATAGCAGCTAGTAAAACACTTGAGAGTCCGAGAGGGGAAGGGAGAGTTATGAATAAAGAGGGGGAAACAGGCAGATGGAGAGAAATGACGAGTAAGAAGAGGAGTGGAAAGATAAATAAAGTTAGAGGGGAAAAAAATGGAGGAAAAGATAAAGGCAGCATGAGGATAATGAAGGGGCAGGGGGCGACTGAAGAGTGAGAGATGGAGCCTGTCGCAGAGATTAAGCGAAAATGCAGAATCCTACATTTCAAGAACAGATGGAAACAGATGGAAGGACTGATAAATAGAGCAAGAATTATGCCTAATGGCAGTAAGTCAGCCTAGGTATTATACCATCTATCTCTATTTATACGAAAGCGCAAAACATCACAACTGCCTTGTTTGATTTGAACATCTCACATTCACAGGATTAGTAGCTCAACAACCGGAGAACTGAATATTTTCCTTATTATGTAAATGTCCTATTACTTTAACTGCAGCTCCTATGATGACTAAGCCTTCTTTACCAATGAGATTAATAATTCCGACTTACTCAAAACAATATATGTTGGTTACAGAAAGTAACCCTAATTTCTGAAACATATGAGGTGACTTGCCTGCATTTATGTAATTCTGGGGGCAACTTTATGTCAAAAATGTGTTTTTTAAAATAGAAATCTGAGAAGTGTGGCTTGCTTGTATTCAGACCCTTTAGTCAATACATTGGAGGATTGTACCAAGGTTGTCTGCAGTTGTAGCTGAAGTTCTTATCAGCTTTGCACACGTACATGCTGAAGGTTTTATCCATCCTACTTGGGTAAAATTGCTCAAACTCAAATGAAACAGAGATCATCAGTGCGCATTACTTTCCACACCTTGCCACAAATGATCAATTCATTTTAGATCGGGACATTAACTGCACCATTTTAACACATTTAAACAATTTACCTCTAGTTTTATCTTTAGGGGTATTGACCCGCTGGAAGTGAAACTCGTAACATGATTTGTTCCAGGATTGTCCCTTATTGGTTGAGTTATACCGATATGAAGTCACTCAGGTGGGACTTTTTACTAATTGGGTTACTCATTAAGTTTGTCTGTTGTTGTTTTTGTTTGCTTTTGAGTTTGCAGATTAGAGTAAAAAAGGGGGGTGACTACAGATATCGTCCACTTCAATATAATGCACTAGTTTGTGTTGACTGTTCACCTAAGGTCCTAATAAAATGCATTTAAATGTTTATTGTGTATATTTATTTTTTACAAGGTGCAGTATGTTCCATAAGAAAAAAAAATTAAAAATCTGCAAATTGGCAAAAAATAGCTTTGGGGTGAATCAGGTAGCAAATAAGAAAGTCATGTGATATTTGGCAACATCAAGGATCCTTTATTGTCATTATGTGGTCACATGTAATGAAATTCTGTTTGGTTGCAGTAGTTTGAACCACCATGTCATACCAAATACTGCCTTATAGACCTGTCACTCAGACTGCAGCTTTAATTTTTTATAACCTGTCACGCTTACAAAGCTCTGTTGCCATCAAGTTCTTGCACCGTCATAGAATAATTCGTCTGTAATTTCCCCTGTGCATCGCGTTGTGGGAAAACTGCGTCCATCATCAGACCGCCGACAAATCGATTGGTCTTCCAGTATTAGTTGTTTCTGTCAGCTTCTACTGTCAGCTGATTCAAATCCCAGCTCTGCAGTCTGGAAGCGGTTCTCTTGTGCTTGCTTTCTTTCTCCTTCCTCTTTGTTCCTGACCTCTTTCTCCTGTGGTTTCTCAGCTTGCCGCTTCCCACTTGTGATTTATCCACCCCCCCCCCCCCCCTTTTTCTTTTCCCTCGGCTGAAAAAAAAAAAAAAAAAAAAAAGAAAAAAATAAAAAC